CACCAACTTAGACCTGAGTAGCTGATAGCATAAGATAACTTGTTTTCCCCTAAGAAAACATTTTAGTCTCTAGAGACTAAAAAGCCAAAATCCAAAATACTCAAGCTAAGAAAATAAACATGTAAGGAAATTATGCTTGCTTTATTGGAACTTAAACCACTTTTTTTAATAAATATGTATAAGTAGAAAAATATACAGTGGGATTGTTACTTTAATGTATAGAAGATGCAATATAGCTAATAATTCCTCTTAGAAAAATACAACATGCTTAAAAAATCCACTAAAATAATAGTAACATAGAAAAAAAAGATTGTTGTGACTAAGTGTTCTTAACCACTACATACGTCAGCTAAGAGACTTTATTCTGACTCCAGATTTTGTGCATGGACAACCAATGTTTCATAAGTCCAAAATAGGAACTTTAGCATATAAATCAAGGCCATAGGGAACCCATAACCATCTAACCTCCATCATCACCACTTGTAGTTTCTTCCTTAGATTGCAGAACTTTTAAGCTTTGATGTCAACTTCCACTTAGCAATACTTTTCTTAAATGCTCTTTGGCCTTTGAGTACCCCAAACTGTTTAAACTGCCCTAAATATCTTTTAACCCATCAAAGTTTTAATGAAAAACTGTGTTCCATGATTCAGACATGCCTAAGGATGAGCCTGGTCAAAGAGCCACTGCAGATATGAAATAGGTTCTATTTTTCCTAAGATACTGCAATGCTAAACACAAGTTGAGGACCAAGGGTTCAGCATAGTAAACCTACTGCTAACGAGCATTCCAAGGTAATATTTACACCAATAATTCTTTCACAGAAATATTTTCTTCAAGGACCCAACTGCACACACATAGAAGCACTGATAGTACTCTCAAGGACCTGTCCAGCTTCAGATAAAAATAAGAATACCATGAAGCCCATTTGATCTGTGGCTGCATTTCACATGCTACACAAGCTCTTTAAATGCCTCAGTGCTGGGACTCTCCCAGGTCACAAAGTGAGCCCTCCCTCCCCTGGGCCCCAAGCCTCACCCCAGGGCAGCAGCTACTGACACTGCTGCACAGCAAGTTAGCCCAGGCCGTGCTTGCTGCACTTGGGGTGCACGTCTGTGATGATTCTTTTGGACATCCCAAGGGATCTCCATCCCCCTCTCTGCAGACTGGCTCCTTGCTGTACTTCCGAAGCTGCAGCTCCTGCTCTGGACCACTGTTTACTCAGGAAAAACACACTCCACATATCAGGGGTTCAGTCTGACAGCTCTGGTAACACATTTAATGTAACTGTGAAAGCAGGACTGGTCCAAAGAGCTACTGAAACGGGTACCCAGCTCCAGTCAGCAATTCTCAGCCTCTCTTGGCAGCATTAGCACTAATGAGAGATGGGCCATGTCAAAGAACTAAAACAAGCAACACTCATTCCTACCATACTTGCTCCAGAAAAACAACATGTTTTCATGGATATCACAGAATCATTAAGGCTGGAAAAGATCTCTAAGATCACCAAATCCAACTGTTAACTCAGCACCATCATTTACGAGTAAACCATACCCCGAGGTGTCATATCCACATGCCTTTAAACACTTCCAGGGATGGAAATTCCAGCACTTCCCTGTGCAGCCTATTCCAAAGCCTGAGTACCAGTAGCACAAGCTTGACTAAGGGAAGGCTAGCCAAGGGTGGGAGAAAGGATCAAGAACACCTGCTGGCAGCAGATAATGTAGAGACAGCAATGAAAATAATCTGAGGGTGAAATACCCCAACAGTTTAAACACCCATTTTCTAGTATGTAATCCCAAGTTTCTCTGCCTGTGTTAGACTGGAACCAGTCTAACACTGTCCATCAGCTGAGAGCCAACTTAGAGAAACCTGAATTGCCATGGAGACCAAGTAGACTAGCTTTGCTCAGGAAGGATTTGTGTCAGGGAAGTGTATCTTCAGCTCAAGTTCAGATAGAGCACATGAAGTACCAATAACTTTAGTTTCACAGATCTGAGTTTTAAGGTAAAGAGGCAAGCAGGGGAGTTGTTCTAGCTTTACAGCTTGCCGTATTTTAGCACAGTGTATTTTTCACCAATTGAACCATAACTAGCTAAAAATAAGGTGCTTCAATAGATACAGGCAAGAAACCAACAAGCAATCCAGACGCCTGAATTACCCTTTCTCCAACAGCCTGCCCCTACTACAAATGTATAAGCACACATCCATTCAAACACTGAAGTTAGGTCCAGGTGAACATAAAGCTGGTGGCCAGCTCTCATACAGTGATCTCCGTGCAGAAAAGTCTTTTGTTGATGTACTTGATACTTCCACAGCTAAAGGTTCCACACCCCCTCCCATGCGTGCAGAGCAGATTAGGTTCACAGAGACAGCCCAGGAAAGGCTCACATGCTGCATATCTAAATGTTTGGCACTCGAGGCCAGATTCTGGCCTTCAGGCAGTCACTGCTGAAATACACTTGGCAACTTACACAACTACAACTTTGAGCAGCCCTGTCCTCTCCTCTGTCAGAGGCTGCCACCCACAGAAGCAGGCACATCCTGGCTTTTTAGGGTGCAGTAGGTAATACAGTTGAAGCAGTACAAGAATTCTGCTGTGGCTGTGTCATTCTCCAGCTCTTCAAAGCTCTGTTCTTCGTGCTGGCTGTGGCACTCAGCTCACTGTACAAACTGCTGCTCCAACTTGCAGGCCCAGTGATCCAGTTAATAAAATGAGCTGCCCTCTGCACAGCTGGACAGGTGCCAAAGCCGGTGCATGGAAAGGACCAGAACAACTCCTTAAAGCACCTGAGAACCAGCAGGATATTGTGCAAGGGTACACTCCGTAACTGCATTCTGTGTAGCTTAGACACTGGAGGGCTTGATCAAGACACTAATTTCAGTTTAAAGCTCTGGTAGCCAGGAGGGCAATAACCTCTCTCATTGCCTAGCACAAGCCCGAGTTCATGTGGAGGAAAAATTTAAGTTACACAGATAGAAAATACTCTCTATTCACATGGTCAAGTGCTCAGGGACTATAACTTATAAAGGCACTGCCCATTCAGAGGCTCACAAAAGCCCCCTCAACCAAAAGTGAAATGTTGATATTTGATTTCAGGGTTTTGTTTCCTCCTTTTTGGTTTATGAATTGTGGGAAGAGGTAAGAGTTTGTACTAGCAAACTGTACAATTAACAAATTCAGATATGTAAACAAAGTTTAGAAAATTACCATGATTTGTTCACTTGCAAAGGCGGAGGAAGATACTTGAACAAAATCAACCTTCATTAACAAAAGGTGTCATTACACAGAAATTCCAGTATCTAAGCTTTTATACTATACAGCTATTATAGCTGTGAATTGAAAAGCAAACAAGGACTAGAAAAATCAGTCTTTTAGCTAAGAGCTAACAAAAAACTGAGTTAGTCAGATGACACCAAATACAAAGGAGAACAAAGTCACCTGATACATGCCAGCACATGGCTTTACAGCACATTTCAGTGTATTATGGGCAAGAACTGTTAATGCCACATGACTAATTACTATGTACTTGCAGGTATTATTTTGTTTTAAAACCTTCTCTAATAACCACATAAAACCTCAACCATCAGCTATGCTCATTGAAGAGGAAAATATGAAAAGCATTACCAGAACAGAATACTAGCTTTCCACAACTGGCAAAAAAAAACCTTATACAGAATAGCTACTACCACTTGCACAGTAACGGTGAAACTATTACTAAGTATTTCTCATGCAAAAGATTAGCATAAATTTGTACATTATCAAGAGAATCCCAGCAGGCAGTACCAGCTGTGAATCAAGTAGTGCAAGTTCAAACCATACGTGAAATTTCACCATACTCTTCACGGGGAAGACAAAACCTGATAATGAAGCATTTCAGGGGTCTTTAATTCGGCTCTCTATCTGTGACCAGGCAAGGCAGCGAGGCACAAAGAGCCCGGTCTCCAATCATCACCCTGCACACACAACTGTGCTCTGCTGATAACTGAGACCTCTGGAACACTACAAGGGCCACAAAAACCAAACCAGGGCCTTTGGGCAGCAACCTCAATGACACATCTCTGCGATACACTTGCAGTCCTACTAACACCCAAAGAGAATCACAGAATTAATTAGGTTAGAAAAGACCTCTGAGATCATCGAGTGCAACCCACGACTGAACATGGCACTATGTGCCAAGTCCAATCTTTCCTTAAACACCTCCAGGGACGGTGACTCCAACACCTCCCTGGGCAGCCCATCCCAATGCCTGATCACCCCTTCTGTGAAGAAATTCCTACTAGTATCCAACCTAAAGCTCCTCTGGCACAACTTACAACTGTCCTGTTGTCCTGCCGCTTGTTGCCTGGGAGAAGAGGCCGATCCCACCCGGCTACAGGTTCGTGCAGTTGTGGAGAGCAGTGAGGCCGCCGGTGCCTCCCGGTTAAACACCCCACACTGCCCCCGCCGCTCCTCACAGCTCCAGGCCCTTCCCCAGCTCCGCTGCCCTTCTCCCCACATCGAGCCTCGTTAAAAAACAACAGACCCCACCCAGCCCACCCAACAGAGCCAGAAGCGGCAAGTTACAGCTGGCACAAGCGCCGCTCCCACGGCGCCCAAGCTCGGGGCGCTAAGCCGGCCCGCCGCTCCCGAGGGCCTCCCGCACGGGCACCGGCCCGGCTCTGCGCCCCGCCAGGCCCCGGGCAGGCGGCTCCCGGCCGTGACCCGGCCGCTGACCTTGGCGGAGCTCGGGGTCCTGCAGCACGTCGTGCGCGCGGTAATCCTCCACGCCGTGCAGCCGCAGGATCTGCACCACGGCGTTGCTGAAGCCGCAGAGCGGCTGCGCCGGGCTGCCCTTCATGAACACCACCACCGGGTGCTCCCGCACCAGCCGCTCCACCCGCACCGCCGCGCTCATCGCCCCGCCGCCGGCAGCGCCGCACCGCGCCCGCACCGCCCGCCCATTGGCACACGGCGCGACGGGCCGCCGGGGAGCTTCCTCCGCATAGGCGCAGGCAGCCGCCAATCAACACTTACAGCCAATAGCGCTGAGATACAGCGAGACTTGTCCCGCCCAGCAACCCAGCTGTGGCTCCGCTTTCCTAGTGGAGGAAACAGAGCGGCTGCGGCTGCATTGGGAGAGAGACCTGTCAATCCAACGTAGATCGATTATTCCCGCCCCTCCCCGGACGCGATTGGTCAGACTGCCCCGGGGCGGGGCTTTGCTGGGATGTTCGGGGGGCGAGCGGCGGGAGGCTCCTTCCGTTTCCGGGTAGCGGCCGGTCCGCCCACCGGGGCCCTGCGCCAGGGCCGGCATGGACGGGCCGCGCTTCCCTTCCCCGGGATGGAGAGGCCGCGCTTTCCTTCCCGGCACGGACGGGCCGCGCTTCCCTTCCCCGGGATGGACGGGCCTCGCTTCCCTTCCCCGGGATGGACGGGCCGCGCTTCCCCTCCCGCGCCCCCCGTCGGCTCCGCGGGGAGCGCCAGCAGCACGGCAGGGAGGCGTTGCTGGGCGGCCGCTGCTGTGCTCAGCCCCCTCCCGCGGGCCCTCGCAGCCCCCCGGGCGGGGTCTGGGTTTATCCCAGGCGGAGGTGGGGCTCCCTCGGGCCGGGCTGTGTGAGGGTGAAGGCAGATCCCTGCAGAAGGGGCTGATGGCTGTGCGGGGGAAGCGGCGGGGCTGAAGCGTGCCGGGTGCGCCGGTGGCAGCGGGGAGGCGGCTCTCGGGCGAGCAGCGCCGTTCAGTCGGCGCCTCTGTCCCCGCAGGCGGCGGAGGCTGTGTGTGGGCAGCCGGCAAACTGCTGCATGGGTCTGTCTCCTTCCTCGCTATGGCTGTGTCGGGGACCGATTTGACTGCGTTCATTTGCCCGGGTCTGGTTGATTTTTGATGGGATAAAGCGGGCGGTTTGTCCCTGAGAAAGTAGCGGTGCTTTTCGGGCTTGGTGCTGATGGAGACCCGAGTAGTTTTGTAGGGCTTGGCCTTTTCTCCCGAGCGCCTGGCAGGGGTGGCAGCGGGATGGGAAAATGGGAACAAGATTGGGCTGGCTGCCTGCGGAAAGGATGGTTCAGTCGGGGCTGGAGCCAGGGCAGAACTGCCTGGTGTTAGCCAGAGAGAGCTGGGCTTGGAACGTGTGCTGCAGGCGGCCGCCCGTGCAGCCAGCTTTGCTCGCGCTCCTGGGCAGATGCCGTGTGCTTTCCAAGAACTTGGCGCAGAGCGAGGCGGCCTCCTGAAGCAGCAGGGCCTGTCCTGTAAGTAGAAGAAAATGTTGATGAGTTTTCCTCTGTACTAAAATACAGTCGCTCACAAATAACAAGTCACAGTGTGTTTTGAGTACTAATTTATATTGCAGCTGCAGCATCTGGACTTTTGGTATATTAATGACCATTTGTCATATTTATATTTGCAAGGAAAAGAACTTTTACCATCCAGTTCTGTTCTTGTGAGAGCTTTGCAGACCAGCTTCTTTTCAGCATTCAGAAGAGTGCTTGCCTAATTCTTGTTTTTTGTGGAATCCAGCTGATGCTTGAGTGACAACTCTGTTTTAATTTTTTGAACCCACCCTCAGGATCACTTCTGTTGCCTTTTATTTAAATTTATTAAGAACATATTCCAAAGGGCATTGTTGCAAACATGCCCTTTGTCATCCCATGTGAATGGGTTATGAATAAGTACAGTGTTGCTGCAGTATTTAAAAGCAGATGTGTTTATGAGGAAATACTTTCCATGTTTCATCTGAAGGCGAAGTTTGTATCTTGTATTGCTGATGAGCACCATGTATTTTGTGAGTTTGGTGAGTTGCTGAAAGCAAAACATCACAAGCCAGGCTCAGCCATGGTGATCAAGAGGAGTGTTTGCTTTTTGTGGTTAATATGTTTTGATTAACATGGTGAGAGTTGTGAAGTATGAAAAAAAAATGTTCTGTTTGTGCTAGATGGAGCTGCAGTAATTTATGCAGAGCAAAAGTATGTTGTCCTATTTGTTGGACTGTTTGAATATACAAAGATTTTTTACACGAAGTGTTAAATTTAACATCCCAAGGGGTCTCTTTTGTCATTTTAATGAAGTATAAAGACTCCTGCTACTTCTAGATCTTGGGGAGTCAAAATGGAATTAAATAAAAATTGATTGACAAGAAAGATAACTTTTTTATTGTTAAAGGCTACTAAGTGTTTTCTTTCAATGAAATACTGGGCTACGAACAGAATAGTGTGGTACTTGCCTTCCTGAATTTTGTCCTACCTATTCCTACAAAGGGGTGGTTCATTAGAAATAAGTAACATAAAGACATCAGACTCGAGCGTAACACACCCTAGTGAGCATATATTCTTTCAGCAGTGGTGTCACCAGAGCTGTATTTAATCCTCTGTGGTCTAAGAGGTGCCCTGGGCTGGTGGTACCCTGGGCACACCAGGCCTGCAGGGAGAGCAGCAGCGAGGAAGCCGAGGCGTGGCTGCCAGAGCCCAGCAGCAGCAGGTGCTATATTCCTCCCACAGCTGCCACTCTGTTGCCACGGAGGTAATGACTTCTCCCGTGTCATTATTGATCTGTCAACAGTAAGAGCAATTTTGCAGTCTGATATTGTTTAGCAAATAGAGTAAAGTTTGCTGAACACTGAAAAAACTGCTATAAAATGCTGGAAGGCTTCTCAGAAGGTTTGTGTATTAGGTTGAATAGAAGTACTGAATTTGTCGTTATTGTAGTTTATGAGATTGGCCTATGAGATATTAAGCTTAACAGAATGCTTTTTAATAAAATATTTAGTCTGGTCAAATACTTTTGGATTATGCAATATGCAGCACTCAGAGGATAAACACTTTTACCTACTGATAGGACTTGAAACAATTTGTCCATGTACACTCTAGAAACAAATAATTATGTCACCAAGTTCCATCTTCTATTAGTCTAAGTGAAACTTCTTGTGTTTTCCAGATAATCATTTAAATCATCTGTTCAGAAGAAATACTAATGGGATTGCCATAAGATTCCTGACATTTTGCTGATGTTCCTGTTAGAAGACCTGTCACCTCATTTTGAAAACACTGATAAAAGCACCAGTATTCAAACTTAATAGGGCTTAAATGCTCCTAGTCAGTCATAAACGGGTTAACTCAGGCATTCTGCTGCAGAACAGAATTATGATTTATAAGTTTGTAATTTGTTCTCACATGGTATACAAGAAGGTAGACATGCAAGAATGATACTGTCAGCAAAAGCTTTTATTTCTTTTTAAAAAGGGGAGGGTTAAATTAGCTAATGAGAGAGAAAAGTCTAATTTCTGCTTATCAGAACAGGACATGTTCTTATGTTCAAGGCTGATATGTCTGTGTCATTCTGAGCTGTGATAGTGACTGAAAATGAAGTCCCTTGTTGTGCCCTGACAATTGAGCTCTATTTAGGTGAGGTTTTTCTGTTGAAGTTTTTAAGTGGGGTAGCTTGAACTCCACCTGTTTTGCATGGCAGGTAAATAATCTCAGTGTACCATCATGCTAACATCTGGCAGCATCTGCATATCCTCAATTTTGAGAGCACTATGAACACTTAAAATGTTCTTAAAATTCTGGGCTGCCTAAATGATCAACACTGAAAACACTTCTGTGAAATGTTCGTGGTTATTTTGGAAATGTGCTAGGTTTAAAAAGTTGTGCAACAAACAGCAGAAACAGAAATGCAGTGGGAGTTTTACAGGGAAATTGACATTTTGACATCTGAACTGTACCTAACTTCCTGTTTTGGGTCTAACCTGGAAATCTATAAGCAAGTTTGTTTCTGAACTGAATTAAATTATATTCATGGATTAACTAACAAATATCCATCGCTTTATGGCATATTCCTAAGAGAGTGTTTGTGTTAGCCTTAAAATACAACATTCCATTTCATAAATGAGATTGGTGAAGAATATTTACAAAGTGACCTGTATCAGTTTAAGTGATGGGGATAAACGTGACCTAAGGCAGTTCTTTGATTTAAATTATGTAAAGATACCTTCAGCAGAGAGGGGTCATGGTAATAATCCAAGGAGTAATGTCTGAGGCCCACATTTAACAAATAGAACAGAAGGTCATGTTCAGGCCTGAATGTGGACCTTTACATGAGGTACTCTTTAGACTTCATTTACTTCTTAATGACACTGATATCACTGTGTGCCTCTTTGCACTGAGCTTTGTGAGTTATGACACTCTTGAAGCAGGGACAAGTAGTATGACCTCTGTGTTAGAGGAGCAGATTTATTCTTTGGGATAAGCTGCTTGCAACAGTTCTGGCATATGAAAATCTGTTAGATCCTTATTTCTGATTTGCAAATGGTAGTGGTTCTTGAGTCAGTTTTACAGAGGAAGCATAATTTTATGTGTATCTATTTCCATGCAGAACTAAGAAATACTGCCTCTAATGAGATCACCTCTGGCCTCTTTTCATCCAGGAATTAGGAGTGCTAAAGTCTTTGATGAGCCTTAGAAAAAGATTGGGCAAGCTCAAGAAAAAAATTTCTGCTAAATAGAAAGACACCATTCTGGTATCAAGTCCTGAGCCATAGAATGGTAGGTGTTGCAGCCCATGCCGCAGCAGAGACAGCCGTGATACACAGTGTCATTGTACAATTTCATAAATTCAATCCATACAGAGTAACACCACTTTTGAAGGCTTCAGGCATGAGCCCATGCAGAGTAACACTGTATCACTTCTGAAGGCTGCAAGTGTCTCTTCGTGTTCTTCAGCCCAACCTTTCATACTTCTCATGTCCATGCACTGCCCCTGTGTGCCCTGTGTTCCCTTTGGAGGTTGGTCAGTGCCCCTGGGCACTCCTTGGCTCAGTGCTGGCAGTGCTGCTCACCTGCTGCTCACAGCTATGCCCATTGGGATGAAACTGGCTGCAGCCCCCCTCCCAATCACCACAAACTGTACCTGCAGCTGGGGAGTGGGACTGGAACTATGTGCATGTCCTGTTCTTTGCTTCCTGTGTGCTCTCTTTTGTCCAGTGTCACAAACACAGAGTCTTGGTCTCTGCTGTTGTAATTTGTAAAACTGTCATTTACTCAAAGTGCTGGAAGTGTCTTGGCTTTTAGTAAGGCTGGGAAAACCCCAAGGCACTCATTGCCTGTAAGGATTCTTGTGCCCCAGTTAAGGTTTGCCAGCATGCTCTGTCGCAGCACTGGTGACAGGGGCGCTTTCATTGGCTCCATTAATTTTAAAAATGTGCGGGTGCAGTGAGGCACAAGAGCATCTGTGATTATCGTGTGTGTCGTGACCACGAGGGGGCCCTGGCAGCTTCCATCTGGGTGAGCCAGGAGTTACACACTGACCACAGGAACAGGGCTGATTGCTTGGTGCCTCAGTGGTTACATCCTTTCTTGTTCAGCACTTCTGAATTACCCTACCTCTTAAATATATAAATATATTTAATTATAGTATTTTGCTATGTAATTTTGAGAAATGCATCTTGGTATAAAAACTCAGCTTTAATAAGTAGCACTGGCCATTTGATCATCTCTGTGGCAGAAGACAGTACCAAGCATGTTATCACTGTGAGTTTCCATCTGTATGAATGATTTCCCCAAGTAAAAGTTCAAGAGTTTTGCACACATCACTGTATTTGTAACATAGAAGGAATTTGTATGAAGAATCTTAATTATAAGATTTTTTGTAGCTCTTATGAATTTTTAAGCTTGGTACTACAATGTTTCAATAAAGATTTTTTTCTCTGCACACCCTTTATTCTTTCATTTTTTCTAGGAATGTGTGTTTGTGAAATCAACTTGCTGTGTTTTAAAACCCTGCCTGCTGACCACAGATTCTGATGTCATGTGTATGTTAAAAGTGTCCATGAGTGCAGTAGGACTATATTTTATCACTTGTTCTGCAGAGTTTTTATGTGATGTGAAGAAAATCAGACCCAAACATGTAGCAGAAACTTGAAATGGGAGAGGAGGAGTGGGTGGGTTGGGTGTACTTGCATTTGTAATGTGTGGACTCAAAGACGAAACGGAGTCAAAGTATCTCATGTGGGAGGTAAAAATGCAAATTCTTAAAGGGGAGTCCAGAAACTTGAATTTTTAGATTTCTGCAGTTAATTTTAAAATAACAAAACAAACAAACCCCACAAAAATAACAATATACGTATGAGAGAGGTTTGGGGGGTTTTTTTAATGTTCTAAAATGTTTTTATTCTTTATTTTGAAGTATGACTATGTGTATATTTTGAAAATCTGACTTTTCAAAGAGTACTTCCAAATGCTCCATGTAGATACAGTGATTTTCATTACTCTCACTGTGCATATGCAGTGGTTTTATAACTGTATTACTCAAGCAGGTTTTTTGGGGGGAACAGTTATTAACTATGTGCTTTAGAGGGCAAGCAGTTCTTTATGGAACAAGCAGCTTCTCCACAAATGCAAGCATATGCATCTTTCCTAAATTTCCTTTAAAATAATTGCATGCTTTCTAATGCTTCCCTTCAAGTTAATTTCTTGCAATTTGGTGATGTGATGGAAGTTTCCATCCTGCAGTACTTTGTTTCCTCTGAAGTTCTTCCCTTGCTAATATCCATGGCAGCTGAGATTGCTCCCCAGCCTCAACATAGCTAGCAACTTGCAGGATAAAGAACTTGGCCCTGAAAGTTGTGTGTCATTTAATTGTAGCAGTTCTTGGGCTTGTATGAAGGCCTGCTTTATAATCAGCTTGACTTCATTTTAAACAGACAAACAAAAGCATTTTCAGCCTGGGAAAAAGCTCTGAGTTTCCGAACAATCACTTTCCTTGTCACAGTGATGCTCAGATCACTCTGAATCATCCTTGGACTCCCTTTCTTATCAGTAGCCCTTTTGCTCTTTGTTCATATACTACTTTTCCATCCTTGCTAGTCCTGGGAGACAGGAGGAGACAAAAGTGTACCCTCACAGCTGCTTTCTCTCACTGTACTTTAGTTTGAGACAATCAGAGTAAGTAGATCTGTGCTCGGTTTTAGTTTCATGCTTGACTACTGTGGTGAATGATTTAAGGTTTGTGTGCCGTGGAAGGAGGAAATTAAAACTAAAGACTTCCTAGATTGACAGTCCTTTAAGCACTGGCATACAACAAATTGTTCTACAAACCTATCATATCTAGGGAAAGGGAGACTAATATTGGTGAAAGTGTAGCTCCAGACTACTGCGAGTCTCAGAGAAATTGATGTAACAAAACTATTTGTGGTGGGAAGGGAAGCAAGGAATAACTTTAATTATGTAATGTCATATATCAACAGTTGTCTTTGTTCTCTCTTCAAGGGACTTCAGAGAATATTTTCTTAAACTAGTTGTTGGCAGCTTCTATAATTAAAAAAAAAATTGTGGAGA